GGTCCAAGTATCTTAAAAATCATGCTGGTTTATTCAAAGGATCACAGGTAAAATTAACATTACACATCCAGGCATCTTCCACCTCCAATACTGCGCGCAGGCAGATGAAGAATGAAAGACCCCGAACCCAACAGGCCTGTACATTATATCTGGTTTGGGCTAACCCCATTCTACACAGGGATGTCAAACCGTGGCATCACCTGATATGCCAGCTTTACAGCTGACCGTAGCAGTTGTCAAAACATGGAGAAAATCAATGTGTGTTAATGTTGATTAAGTGGTGTGTATCTAAGAACATATAGGACATTCAGGGACATGTCCGGACATTAAGCCTAGGACGATATTATGATTAAGATTACGGCTAAACATATCATAATAATAACAATAATCATCCTGCCTGCTGACAATCAAACTTTTCTATCTAGTTATCCTTGCCCATGTACACCCTGCTAAAATCTCATGACAATGACTAAGCGTTTAAACTAGACATCCTGTCTCCACTAAACATTTCTAATACAACAAGTATCTAACCAATGTCTATCTGACTAAAAAAATACCTAACAACGGCGTTACAGGTCGCTGTGCACAAAGACAACCAGGCACAGGGACAGTTTCTTCCCCCAGGCCATTACTCTGATGAACACTTAACCAACGACAGTATGATTGGACAATAACCCTCAGTGCAATACCTGTGTAAATATACATTGTACAGTTTATACAGACTCGCACAGGTCTCTAGTTTTAAGTGCTATCTTTATCCCTTATCCCTATTTATCTCATTTCAATAAACATTCCTTGTTGTCTGCATTGTTTACTGTCTGTTTATACTGCTTATTCTGCATTGTTTGCAGTTTGTTGCTGTCAATATTGCTGTTATTCTTATTTTGTTATATTACACAGCCTTATGCTGGTTTACTGTTTGCACATTGAGAGCCAATGTACCTGAGTCAAATTCCTCGTGTGTCCATCACAGCTGGCCAATAAAACTGTTTCTGATTCAATCTTTACATGCATAACATACTGAAAATGTCTAATCATGCAAGGCTGCTTTAATAACATTTACTAAGATCTACTTCATCATTGAAACGTTCAATTTTACAGTCTTACACAGTAGCAGAATCCAACAGATTTAACTACAGAAATCACAGACATGAAGCCATTACAATGTGTTTGTGTAAAGGGTGTAAAGCTGTTCCACCGTACATTTACAAAGGAGATTCAGTCAGTATTTATCAAGTGCCTCAGAGTAGGAAACCACTACTGTCTGACCAGAAATGATGTAGCAAAAACAGCAAAAAGCAAATCATGTCTAATAATTTGTAGGAGAAAAACAGCTGAATCACATCATACATATACATTCAAGTAAACCTCTCAGTCATGTACAGCCAATTCTGACTATCTTGCAAATTGATAATAATGTGAAGCCAAGAGGAATTATTGACTTTTATCTTTATCAAAGTATTAAGGAAGCCAACTAGAGGTGTAACTACTATATGACACCAATTTGTCTTTCACCATAACTTGACATACAGACTTGATGTACAGGTCTGGGAGATTTTGGCTGAAGGCCTAGAATTTGACTTAAACCCCTGGGCCATTAAAGCTGGAGGGCAAATCGTTTAGCTGGTCTCAGCTATACACAGAGAGGGGTCTGGAGTGAGGTGGAGATGGTGCTTTGGTGAAGGTGTATAGTGGAGTCCTGATGGCCCATTTCTTTAGCAAGTCAAAGGGTGATATGTCCAGGAACATTTGTTTGCCATTGATATGTGATATGATACGATTCTCACCAGATCAGAGACCTCTCCACTTTCTCTTTGAGTCTGTGCAAAACAGGCATGCAACCTCTTGGGGTGGAAGGTGAGGTTATGAAAATCCATAAGAAGCTGCTGTCCTTGCTTGATACAGGGGAAAGTCATTTCACTCAGGTTTTGGAGAAAATCAAAGGGTAACTGTGTTACCTCCAAATAAAGCCACACTTGACTGAGGTCCTAATTTCTTTACTGCTTTGGGAAGGTAAATCTGAAAGCTCTCCCACATTTTGTAATAATATGGCTTTTAACCCGTAGAAACTCTTTTCTCCAAGTGTGTTGTCATGTAGCATCTTTCCCACAAGTGCTGCTGGAGTATGGTTTTTCACCTGTGTGGGTTCTCATGTGGACAAAGGTGGGACCCTTGTATGTGAAACAGTTTCCACATGTTTTTGCAAATATACAGTTTCTCCTGCGTGTGTGTTCTTAAATGAACATTCAAATCCAAATAATACTTAAATCCCTTCCCACAGGTGTTGCAAATATATGATCTCTCACCTGTGTGGAATCTCATACCAAAAAGGAACTGTCCTATGTGAAGGTTTTTTCCTCAGGTTTTACAAAAAAACTGCTTCTCACATGTGTGGGTTCTTAGGTGTCTTGACAAGCAAATCTTTTGTGCAAAAGTTTTCCCACATGTTTTACAATACAGCCTCTCTCCTGTGTGGGTTATTAAGTGAACATTTAAATGTGATGATCGCTTGAATCCTTTCCCACATGTCTTGCAAACATACGGCCTCTCACCTGTGTGGATTATTAAATGAACATTTAAATCTGATGATCGCTTGAATCCTTTCCCACATGTCTCACAAACATATGGCCTCTCACCTGTGTGGATTCTCATATGGACCAATAACCAACTGCTGGTTGTAAAACTCTTCCCACATGTTTTACAAGAATACGGCTTCTCCCCTGTGTGGGTTCTTAAATGAATCTTCAAACCCGATGATGCAATGAATCCCTTCCCACACGTCTTGCAAACATACGGCCTCTCACCTGTGTGGTTTCTCATGTGGACCAAAAGGTCACTGTTATATCTGAAAATTTTCTTACATATCTCACAACAATACCGATTCTCCGTTGTGTGGATCCTAAGATGTCTACTGAAATTGGTCTTGTACCTAAAAGTTTCCCCACAAGTGTCACACTTTAAAGACTTTCTATCTGTGCAATGATCAGAGTGAGTCTCTGACAGGGGAGAGGTGTCCACATTGCTACTGTGACTTGTGTCTTTGTGACATCTCCCCTTTGGCTTTAGCTCTGCATTACTAGCTGATCCTGAGTCTCCATGCTGGCTTCCTTCCTGATCCTGGCTCTCAGCTACAGCAGAGCTGTGAGAGAGGAGCTGCTGGTCACTGGTTGGTTCTGCTTCACTGTGGTCACTTTCCTCATAAGTAGGAGTCAACATAAAGGGATCGGTCTCCTGCTTCAGTCCAAGCTGTTCTCCCTCCTGACTGCTGCAGAGTTCCTCCTGTTCTTCTTTAATCTGTGGAGGCTCTGGGTCCTCTTGGTCCAGACTGGAGTCCCTCTCCTGGTTCCAGAGCTGCTGGTCAGCCAGAACCTCCTCCTCCTCCTCCTCCTGACAGACATGTTGCTGTGGTAGCTCTGGAGGGACAAAGGGAGGAAGAGGTAACTGATGTGATGAGAGAAAAAAAAGAGTCATGCTTCTTCAACTTATTAAGAGTAGAGGACATTGGTCATTTTTCATTTTCAATCTGACACATGAACTGAAAAACAGTGGATTCAAAGTATTTAGACCCCTCTAGTCTTTGCACATCTTATTGTGTTCTGGATTCAGTTCTGCAAGGATACAACTGCCATTTCTACACATCATTTTACACTTAATCAGCCATGTTTATGTAACATCAGCTAACCAGCTTCCTTGGCTAACGTAACTTACAGTGCATCAGAATCAGTTTTAATGGGCAGGTGTGTTGGATGCCTGAGGAATTTGGCTCAGGTACAGTGGCTCTCAGTGTGCATGTACAGTGTTCTTCTGTAAAGCAACGCGTAGACAAGTAAACAGTATAAGGTTGAGAGAACAAAAAAGAAAAGAAAAGAATGTGCAAACAAGAAAATGGAATGCGTGTTAGGAAAATAAAAGCAAAGTACTTATAAACAGAAAAATATATAATTGCACAGTTTAGATGCATTTTTCAGATTAATATATACAAAGGTATATTTATAGGTATTGCACTGAAGGTTGTCATTCTGTTATACAATTATGGGTTAAGGGTTCACCAGTGTGAATTTCTTTACTCCACTGTTACTATTCACAACAATTACTCCCAAACAAAGTTATAGCCTACTTCATGTACATATTCTTAGTGGAGACTAACGTTTTGATGGCTGTAACTTCTGTCATGAGTTGATGGTACAGACAAGTATCCTGTCAGCTGTTTGATTAGCTCAGCGATGCTGCCAATCGCACAAACGTTCATCCAAACACTGATTGCTGATTGACATGTAATTCCCGTTGCCAGCTTACATTTTGAGATCAAGTCACCTCTCTGTTATTTTTCAGTGCCTATAACTCATCTTTGTTTGTACATTCATTTTGATATGTTGCCTTTTTACATTCATTTGGATCAGGTGCTTCAGAGCAGGTAACTGCGGCTTCGCAAAAGGTGTTTGTGTGTGTGTCTCAAACTCTGGCACACAGGGAAGCAGGGCGGCCATGAAAGAGACTCTGAGGATACAGTTTATTACATGACTATTTTGCTACAAACATTTACCGGCCAGTGTGGCAAGTAGACTTCTGAGTTTTACACGCCAAATGGAAAATCTACCTGCATTTCCTGCCCAGCAGATGTTAATTTCGGACTGCAAGGCTATGAGTGGCCCAGGCAAGGCCCAGACTTAAACCCCATCAGATATCTGTGGAGAAATCTGAAGACAGCAGTACATCGATGCGCGCCATACAATCTAACAGACCATGAGAGGATCTGCCATGAAGAATGACAAAGTGTCTAAATGCTGGTGTGCAAAGCTTGTACAGACGTATGCAAGAAGACATGCAGCTGTAATTGCTGCCAAAGAGGCTGCCAGAAAGAACAAAAAGAAGGGTTGAATACATAGACAACTCTATGACCATGGCTCACATTGGTCATCATGGGTGATTAAGTGTATAATGATGGGTAGAAATGGCAACTGTATCTATTCCAAAAGGAATCTACAGCACAATAAAATGAGCAAAAATAAAGGGCTCGGTGCTTCCTGAATGCACTGTAGAGCAAATGATTTACTTAACAGCAAATTCCTTGTTCAATTTTATAATAAAACGTTCTTTAATCCATATATTAGCAGATTTGGCAACTACACATCGGTCACTGTACCATGATCTGAAGATAATCATGCCAGTTTTATACAGAAGTTTACGAATAAGAAGCCACGTCACAGGAAAACGGAAATTTGAACAAGAAACTACATTATGCTGAGTCACCGGTGTTGGTGAGTCTTTGTGTTAGTTTCGTTAACATCTTTCGAGTTCTTTTACAGACCTATTCTGTGTAGCTTTACTTCTGGTTTCCAAACGATATCCAGCAGTCTGCGCTGACGACCGATCTCTTCCTCGTACTGGACGATAATTTTTTCAAAGACTCCGAATATTTCTTCAGCAGCAGCAGTTAGTCGCTCGGTGACGAACTCTCTCAGACGCTGAACTGAAGACATTGTTGATTTGTTACAGACTAAATATACATCTGCGATAAAAAGATAACCGCCTTCAACTAACCCCATTCATCTACAAAGCTATCGCTGCTAGCGCTGTTTACTTCCGCCGGATGTCACACTGTGAAGTTCCGGTTGTTGACGTGGTTCGGACTTTGTTCCCCTTCCAACATACATACACACACAAGGCATTGTGTAGCAGCAATTCTAGGTTAAAGTTTATTTATAATTTTAATTTTGTTCTTCTAATGCTCATAAAAATGAACTACATAACAAATGAAGTAAGCCTGCCAGAAAGTCAGGCTGGATTATCTCTGATGCCGAGCAGATTGTCCCAAAAAGGAAAAACACAAAATATACAACAAATAAAGAAAGCAAAATGTGTAAAAACACAAGACTAACAACCTCAAACTGAACTGCTGATAGGGTTATTAAACAATAGATAAAGCAGATCAAGGCCACTTATATAATTAAATTAATATAATGCTTTTATAATGAATTAATTAAACTTTTATCTTATATAGATAAGATAAAAGTTTAATTATTCTTGCAGTAACAGAGTATTTAATATACACAATATGGTTGCATGAGGCAAATGCTCAGAGAAGCCGTCTCTCTGAGGGTCATTTATAAATTCAGACTTAACACTCATGGTAAGTTCTGTGTCATAGAACAGGGTGTGATCACAACAATTTCTGCACATCTGCAGTTGACTACTCATGAGAAAAGCATGTAACAGCAGGGTGTAAGCTTGATAAATGCATTGAATAGGGAACATATAGTATCTATTTTACTTCTACTGTTTACTCAGTACACATACAAAACGTATAATCATTTCACTATAGGTCTCTGGGTGTTTACTGCATCTTAGTAAACATATTACCAATAATTTTTCCAACAATTCCCCCCGAGTATACGTATTTGTACATGTACATAGCACACAATGTAAATATAATATAAACGTAACACAAAGTAATATATACGTGGAGCACTTGTTATATATGTTGGCTTTAGCAAAGCAAAGTTTATCAGCATGATAACATAAAACATTCATAAAAACATGCATAAAGGAGACCGACACCACATTTCTCTGCATATCAATTCAGGACCATGTCACTTCTTTCGACGTGTTCATCACAAGGCATTATACCAGTCACATCAGACTCCTGGTCCACGTCATCAGTAGTCGTCAGTAGTCATCAGTAGTTGGTGGGACTTGTTGACAGACATAGTTAGTTTCAGCTAGAGTAGTGTCAATAAGTCTCAGCATGAGTCCCCACAGGCGTGGGATACAGCAGTGGCCACAGATGGTGAGAAGGGCTGCCGCCACTGTGAGGGACACAAGGCAGGGTGTAACGGGACCGCTCCATTTACCTAACCATTTCTTTAACATCTGGGTGAAATGATTATCAATCCCTGCATTTCTAGCTAATTTCTCAGACAAAGCTGTGAGGCCTTGGAGGGCCCTAACAATTGATTAATCCGGGGTAGTGTTATTAGGTATGAATGTACAGCATGTGGATCCAAACATTTTGCAAACCCCACCCTCCTCTGCCAATAACATGTCAAGTGCAATTCTGTTTTTGTCAAGACATGAGTGTAGTAGGCCTTGGTTCTTCAGCTGTCCCCTTAATGCTATCTCTAGAAAAGTTTAAAGTCAATCCAGTCAACATTGTTAATCGTAATCCACCACATTAAAAAGGATTCAAATCCTGCAGCTACTTGGTTTTGGCCTTTAAACTCATCAGGCATTCCCCTGGGGACCCCTGTGGCACACGGTCATTTTCATAAGACAGTTGTCTTCTTGCTCGGTGGAACAAGGAACTGGTGGCCGTGGACCACCGGGTCCCAAGTGCTAATGCCTGTGCTGGTACTATTTGGAATGGTATAAGCAACTGTACCAGAGCGCAGGGCCGCAGTTTAAGGTCCCCACACAGCCAGCAGAGGTCAGACCTGGAAGTCGTTTGACCCGCAAACCAGGAGGAGTTATAGCCCTCTGAGGTTTTAATGACATTTATAATGGTGTGACAGGAATTTAAAATTCCTGCATCTCGTCCCTGTCTTGATCTAGTAAAACACGTATCATTTGCAGCATAGTATTCTGCTCCAGGGGGAACAGATGGTTCTGCAACAGGGAACAAATAACAAACAGTCTTACAGGTTTCATTGGTGGGTAGCTTTGGTGATTTAAGGAGAGAGAAAACACATTACAGGCCTTGAGGATTGTTACTTGTTGTCAATCCCAATGGAGAGGTTGCTAAAAATGGTCCAGATACTGCACATGCAATACAGTTGAGTACATTCGTTACTCTAGCAGTATACAGTACATCAGTACCACTCAAACCGCTGACTTGTGGGTCATTATGGTTGCTAAGGTTTTCCTCTTGTGGAGCAGTTCAAACTCAGATAAAAGAGGCTAAAGGAGACCAGAGGATTTATTTTAACATGAAATACACTGAGTGTCCTTGACATAAGAGGTAGACTGCATTACTAACATTACTAACTACGTAAATTGAACCTTCAGACAAAACAGTAATTGCGTTCAAAGTGATTTTTTAAATATATTCTAGCAAACTAATATCACACAAAGCTCTTCATAAAGGACAATCCACATGAAATGTTTTGCATGTTTTTTTTTTTTCATTTCAGCCCTAAACCATTTTACTGTGACTAATTGCACTAATATAACATATTCCGAGTGAGGGGGGTTATGTTATTAGGTATTGCCGGCTGTTACGTTGTTCATGTTGCTTTAAGTGACTGTTGAATTATGGGGGTTCTCATGTTAAAAAAAAGGGGGAAGAGCTGGGGCAGAAAAACAAGTGTGTGATTGTTACCTGTTCTGTGTGTGAGTTGCTCTATGTTGTTGAGGAAGGAAGAGAGCTAATAAAGAGTTACGGTGGAG